CCGCTTTCCGGAGGGATCCTTGGGTTATTGATGCTTGGTTTGACCGGGGGTGCGACATGTGTTGTCCAGTTGCGGCTCTTTGCCGTTACCTGCGTGCTGTGGCTGGGGATGCGCTTTGAGTTGATCCGGGTCCCGTTGTTCCCTGTTTCAGGGCTCGGGTCTCCCAGGTCGTTCGCAGTTTTCTTAAGTCATCCATCCTGAGGTCTATCCTTGCGCCCGTGCCGTTCAGATGTTTGCAGCTTTCGCTGCCGTGTTTGGTAATGTCTTGGGCTCATTTCGGGGGTGAGGATTTGGGGGTCACACAGGTTCCTGGCCGCCCGTTCATTTGTGAGTGTCTTCTGTGCGTTCTTGTGTTGCTTTGGATTGCAGGTTGCTGCCTGTTGTCTCGGCTTCGCGTTGCGGAATTTGTGGCGGTTGCCTCCCGGGGTCAGCCCTTTCTTTTCCTTCTCTTTGGGTATGAAGCTCCAGGGAGCCATAGGGGCTTCCCACAGAAAACTAGCATTGAATGTAATGAAACGCCATTTTCTGGGTGAGTCCCGGAAGCTCCCTGGTAACCCTTCCTCCCACTGGTCGGCGGTTTTTTCACGTTGGTTGAAGCTTAGTTTCCAAGGTGCTAGGCAGCCGGCTCGGTGAGGACCGGGCCCCCCCCCTTTCCCCCTCACGGGGCGGGGAGGGCTGCACTGACAATCGGTGCGGCAGTAAAGTGTGATGTTTCCTTGTTTCCTTGGGATTGTAGGGAGTTTCTACCTCTTTTTTTTGTTGTAATTTCTTACCATGTGGGGTTTTTGTTATGCCTACCTTTCTGGGTGCCTAACCCCCTGTCGATGGCAGATAAGGAAAACCCCCAACCACAAGGGGGTTTTCCAGGGCCTCTGCTCCCTGAAACCTCTCTGAAGGGGCCAGGTTCTGGCACTGGTCCCTGGAGGGTCTGAACTCCATAGCTAATGTCCCGGTCTAATATAACATAAATTAGCCTGATAAGCTCCAGGGAGCCTCTGGGGCTCGCCCAGAAAATGCCATTTCATTACATTCAACGCTGGTTTTTGACACCCAGCCTAAGAACTGCCAATTGGATTGCTGGCACGAGGGTCTGGGGCTCCCCCTTCCAAGGGAGGGAGGGAGGGCGGGTTTGTGCAGACAGCGGTGTGGCAACGTGATGACGTTATGCTCGTTAATTAATTTTCGTTGGGATTTCTGTTTACTCGTTTGACTTTTGGTAGCAATAATTTCACCAGAATAGGGTGTTTGTTTTAGGGCGCCTATCTTTCTGGGTGCCAGACCCAGTCTATGACAGACACAGAATGCTCCCAAACACACATGTGGTTTTCTATCGGCCATTGCTCCTCGTGCCTCTCTGAGATGGGACAGGTCCTGGGTCATGGTCCTCGGTAGGCAAGAACTCTGTGCACTTTGACTGATGCCAGAAAGCTAATAGTTACATATCAGCCTGGATAGCTCCGGAAAGCCTCCGGGTCTTACTCAGAAAATGGCGTTTCATTACATTCATTGCTGGTATTTTAAGTTTTTTGGTTTTCGAGCTCAAATTCTTCGTTAAGTTTGACTCGGTATTCGAGGTTTGCTTCACTTCTCGAATTTGTTGAAACACACATGGGTCGACCGAGCAATTGGCACGCCTCAGTTTAACAGTGTGTTCCGCCTAGTGATGACCACGCTAGAATTCTTTTTAAATTTAATTGTGTTTGTGCTTTTTATGTTTCTGATTGTGAAAGTAATTGTTATATCACTCCAAGGGCCCCAAGAAAATCAGTGGTAAAGTTCAACCTAAGAAAATAGCTGTGAGGATGACAGTAGAGAAAAAAAAAAAAGATCATTTATAGTGAATGAATGTGATGTCCATCTGGCACCTAATAGTTTTCGGGTTTTGGCCTACCTTGATGACTGGCTGGTTTGGGCTCGCAGTTGGTCTGCTAGCCAGTTATCTGGTTCTTTTCCAGGTTGCCAGTTTCAGGTTCCTTGGAAATCTGGCAAAAGTCACAGGTTCTGTGACTTCTGCCACATGCTCGGATCTGGTTGGGCCTAATTTGGAATTCTAGATCGGCTTCGCTTTCCCTGCCTCCTGCGACTTTGCTGCGGTTACAGTTCTGCTGTCTGTTGGTGCTGAGAGTGGACATGCTTTACTCAGAGATTGCTCTAGAGGCTATGCGAGTGTTTGAACTTCACCCTTCTGGTTTACCCGTTGTGCTGAGTTTGGCTCAGGAGGTTCTTTTGATATCTTCAGGGCAGCCCGTTTTGCCACTCTTGCGATCGCTGGGTCCTTCCTTCGGTGACCATACTCTGGTTGCTGTATCACCAGCTTCCTCTTTGGATTTTTTGGGGGGTTCATTGTCATGGGGCTTCCTGCTCCCTTGCTTGATGTCTACACAGATGCCTCGGCTGTTAGTTGGGGATTTGTGACCAGCGCTCACCGCTCTGACCATGGTCGTTGATGCCAGCACCTTCGTTAGGCTCACAGCATGGTGAGGGAGTTTGTGGCTGTATGGCCACAATCTGAGGGGCCTGACAGCTGAATGGACAGCACTTCAGATTTGTAGTCCGGAGGTTCCGGGTTCGATCCCCGGTGTAGGCAGAAACAAATGGGCAGTTACTTTTACCCTGATGCACCTGTTCACCTATCAGGAAATAGGTACCTGGTAGACTGCTTCCTGGGGGTGTGTAACAAAAAGGAGGCCTGGTCGAGGACCAGGTTGTGGGGATGCTAGGCCTCGTAATCGTCTGAAGATAACCTCAAGATGGCGATCCGGTTCCATTCAGAGCGTTCTCCTGTGGTTCATTGTCTCAACCAGTTGGGGGGTTCTCTTCGGTCCATGACTCTTTAGGGCTGGTCTCTTCGGGTAGCTCGTCCACTTAAATCTCAGGGTTCATCTCTCTATGCCATTCATGTTCAGGGTGTGAGCAATGTCCTGGCCAGTAGTATCTCTCGCTTCAATTCTCTTTTCACGGAGTAAATCATCAATGCCAATTTCTTCCTTTGGCTTTGCCGGACGTTTGGGCAACCCAGACCTTACCCTCTTTGCGTTGGTGTCGGTGTCTGCGTCTTTACACGGCGCCATATCCTGACTGTGAGGGCTTTACAGAGGGGAAACCTTTTGATGCGACTGCTTGAGATGAGGGCTGCATTTACCTCTTTCTTCCAGTTGAGCTGTTGCTCTGGGATCTGGCACAGCTGGAGTCTTAACAGGGCAATAGTGATTCTTCTGGCTGCTTGATGGCTGGCCCAGCCTTGGTTTCAAGCGCTGCTTGTTCGGTGGCGCCTTTCAATGGCTGTACTTTTATCAAAGGGTCGAGCAAGTAACATACCTTGTTGGTTCAACCTTCTCTTCCGTATTTCGTGGCTGGACTTTTTGATGCGATTTTATCACTATTTGTATGGTCACCAGGTGTCTGATTTGATGGTATCCTCTTACATCTTCTGCTCTGCGACAGTATGAAGTTTCTAGGTGATCTTTTCACAGTTTTCTGTCATTTTCCTTTCCTTTCTGACTGGGTTGTTTCGTCCTTTCTTTCTTGGCTTTTCCTTGATTGGCATCTCATGCCCAGTACTGTCGCTTCTTACCGTGCAGCGTTGGCAGAGCCACTTTTGCTCGCATTCGGGGTTGATATTTCTTTGGCCTTGTTCCACACGTTTTATAGCACTTTGTTTCACCTCTGGCCTGCCCATGCGCTGCTTAAACCTACCAGGTCCTTGGACCAGGTTCGTTCGTTCTGCTCAATTTCTGGATGCCCCCTTCAGTCTGGGATTGCTTTTGGAAGGCTTTGTTTTTGCTTTCCTTGGCCTCTGGTTGTTGGTAGATGAGCTTCATGCTCTCCTCCTGACCCAGGGTTTTTTGTTCTTTTGGTCCTGGTGGTTGTTTTGTTTGGTTGCACTCTGCTCCTTCTTTTCTGGCGAAGGATGAGATGGTGAGCTTCCTTTGGTTGTGGATGCTTTTGTTGGTTCAGCCGGGGATGCATCATGCACTGTTGCCTAATAGCAGTTTTATGCACTACCTGCAAGCCACTGGTTCTGTTTTGGTGGATTCATTGTAGGTTGATCCGGTCTCCCAGGTTTCCTGTTTCAGGGTTCGTGTATCTCAGGTTGTCTGAAGTGGCATTATTGCTAGTCAGCTTGTGGTCTACCCTCTTACTTATGATGTTTGGAAGTTTGTCGCTTTGTCAGCTGTTTTTTGTTACATGTCATAGGCCGATATTCAAACTCGGGTTTTGGAGGTGTAACAGGGTCTTGACGATAACTTCAAAATAACCTTGGGGGGCAGGTTAACGTCCAGGTCCTCTGCAGGCCTTATGTTGCCCTGGGGTGTCTGTTGTGGCCGTCGTCTTGCCTTCGACTTGATACCTGCGGAGCTTGCACCTCCCTGGTAAGTTATTAGTTTTGTCCTTTTCTGTGGGTAGTTAGTTTTGAGGGGCCCACAGGGCTTTACTCAGAAAAGCAGCTTTGAATGTAATGAAATGCCAGTGTCTGGGTGAGCCTCGGAAGCTCCCTGACACTCGCCCTCTTTCAGGTCGCCTGCTATATCATTATTCTAAAACTGATCGGTGTTGGTCGGCTGACCCGGGCTGGCTCTCTCCTCTCCCCTACGATAGTGGAGGTGGAGCTACCTAGTGGGATGCTGGTTTGATAATGTTTTTGTTGTTTGTTTTGCTGTTGGGTAAGTTCTTTTAACATTTTGAGGGCTGTGGTACCATTTGCCAACTATGCAGTGGTCTGTTTTGATTTGCCTACCCTTCTGTGTGCTTCCCTGGATGATGGGAAAGATGATAAACTTTAAATGTAAAGTGTTCATGGGCCAACAGTCCCTACCCCTCTCTGAGGATGGCGCCAGGTTCTAGCTCGTGGTCTCCGGTAGGCAAAAAGAATTCTGCTAGTGATTACACTAAGTAGTTGGCATTTAATCAGTATGATAGCTTCACGAAGCATCCAGTGCTCACCCAGAAACTGGTGTTTCATTACATTCAATGCTGGTTTTTCATTTTACTTTTGACAGGATGAAGATGATGCTCCTCTAGCCACCTCTGAAGTAGCTGTATCATCTGGCATAGGACGTGTTGGTACCAGTGCGGCATCATCACCATCACTGGAAGTACAACAGATACTTCATTCAGAAAATGGTAAAACATAACGCATTTTTATGTATTTGAAGTGTTTTTATGTATTTTATGCATTTTCTGACTTGAATCATGACAATAAACACAGCTTTCATTAATATAATTTACATTTATGTGGCTAATGTTCATGTTAACTTCTCAAATCATGTATTTTCTGGGGGGAGGTCCTACGGCTCCCCGGAGCTATCCAGGCTGATGTGTTAATGTCAGGCTTTGGCATCAATCATGTATATGGAGTTCTTTGGGCCTACCGGGGGACCACGACCAGAACCTGGCCTCCTCAGAGAGGCAAGGGAAGCAATGGCCTATAGAAGCCCCCGTGTGGTTGGAGGCATTCTATTTCTGCTATCGACCAGGTCAGGCACCCAGAAAGGTAAGCATCCCAAAACAAACCCCTATTCTGGTGAAAATATTGCTACCAAAAGCCGAACAAGTGGATAGAACTCCCCCAAACAAAAACGAGCAAACTAGTATGATGTCACCCGTTGCCGTGCCACCGTCTGCGCAGCTCCTCCCTCCCCGGGAGGGGGAAGGGGAAGCCCCAGACATACTTCGCTGGTGATCCACACCCCAGTTCTTGAGGCTGATGCTATAGGCATCGGTTGTGTGCTCTGGCTCCAGACTTGTACAGCACTATGCCTTGTGTGTGGCGGCTGTTCTCCAAGGGTGCGAGAGCCAGGAGTTAGTCCTCAGTAATCGGGCTGCATGTGCTTAGGGTTACCTTGCCTAGGTGCCCTGTTAGTACTGCCTTTGGGGCTTGGGCTTCCCTTCCACAAGTCCCTCCAGACATACCCCTGCGGGGCCGTTTAACTGCTCAGATTTTTGGCTGCCCTTTGGGTGCTTGGGTGTTCTGTCTCCCTTGTTTGCCTTAGGGTAAGAAGCAGTTTGCACTGGTCAGGGGTGCAGGGTGCTTCGCAGCTTGTTTTCACCAATTACAGCGGCCGGCTCTGTTCCTTGGGGTACGTTGTCCTCTTGCGGGGTTTTGTTTCACTTTTTGTTTTTGCCTTGTAGGGGGATCTGCCCTACTTGTCACTGGAGCTTGATCTAATTACGGTTTTCTTAGTTGGTGCTCCCTGCCAGGTCCCCGTGAACGTACACGTCCCTGGGGTTCAGCTGTAAAATGTTTGTTTGGTAGTGTTGGGCGCCGGTTAGCAGTACCCTACCTGGGGTTACCTGAGCATGAGTCCTCTTATAATAAATGCTCAGGCCCCTGGGAATCCCCTAGGGGGCATGCGGGTCCGATGGATATGTCCCCGGAGTCCTCCTCGCTTCACACAACTGAGGGTTGTTCGGTCCCCTTGTCTCAGGGTGACCCTCATTGTTTTTTTCCTTCGTCACGCTGTCTGTTGGGTCGGTGACACTTTCGACTTGAGTCCTGCAAGTTTTACTGCTTGCTGGTGACTCAATTTACCCAATCTGCTGATGATCATCTTAGAGTATAGGCAGCGCAGGAGTTGCATGCTAGGTTTCGGTTGTTGCAACGCGCTCGGTTGGTTGCTCACCCGGATGCCTCATTTTGCTTATAGTCATCTGGGCTTGGGGGTGGGGTTCTCCTCGACCCTGGTTCAGTCCGCACCTCCTCGTCTTTCCCCTCCTGTTGTTTGTTCTGGTCCCCTTCTCCTGCTTCTGGCCCCGAAATGTCTGATAGTTTAGGAGTTGGGGCAGGGGTTAGTTGGTCTTAAGACTCAGGCAGCCTCGGGGGATGCCCCTTCCGGTGTGGCGATGGAGGCATTCGAGTCTAGTCCCCCGGCCGAAGCCTCTGGGTCTGATCAGTGGGCCCCCTTCTGTCTGGCTTCTCCGGCTTCTCCGGCTGCGCCGGCCTCTTCTTGTGGGGTCGGTGCTTGGGGAGGACGACTTTGCCCCGGGGTCCTGCGGAGGAGGACCTTGGGGCTGGGGAGGGGCTGACTTTTGGGGCCGTGGGCCTTGCTGGACCCCGCCTGGGTTTTTCTGCCCCCCTGAGCAGGGTTACTGTTACAAGGAGTAGGGTTTTCTTTCCATTTCTCCCTCTGCATACGAGTTGGATTTGGTGTCTGCCCCTCCCCGGATTCGGTTCCGTGTAACCCCCAGGTATTTCGGTTCCGTGTAACCCCCAGGTGTTTCGGTTCCGTGTAACCCCCAGGTGTTTCGGTTCTGTCTTTCCGGAGATTTTCGGCTTATCGCATCCAACCCGCTGCGGTGCGGGCGGCCCTTGCGGCTAACCTCCTGCGTGACCCGGATTATGCCTCAGCAATGGATTCCTCAGCGTTCAGGTTTGGGACTTCGTTCCCTTTCTGGCTCCGTTATGAGGTCCTGGAGTTGTCCTGGCTGGTGGACTGTCCTGTTTTTGCCCTGGAGGCTTGGCACTACTTCTACCGTTCCCACACTCTAAAGTGGCAGTTGGCTTCGACAGTGGTCCAGGTTTTCCTGGGGGGCGACCTTAAGCACCTCAATGAGTGTTTGTTTGATCCTGCCCTTTCACGTGATGTTAGCATCGTTCAGCTCCATGAGCAGGTTCCTTCCTTTTCGACTGCGCTGGTGGCTGAGGACTTGTGGGCCTGGGGCCTCTTGGCTTCGGTCTTGCATTTCTTTTCTCTCCTGGAGCTGTCTTCGGACTGGCTCGTGGAGGATGTGGGGGCACTTGGGGCTGTTCCTGGTTCTGGCACCTTGGCGGCTCGCTCGTTGGCTGCCTTGTTAAAGATTTTCGCGCCAATATTGCGGGATGCGGTTTCCGTGTTTTATGCTTCCCGGCTCGTGTGTCAGTAGGCGGTGCTTGCCGCCTCTGTGGAATCTGTTTGGGCCTTGGCTCTTAGGATGTCTTTTCCCTTTTGTCCTCTCCTGTTGGAGGATTCCACCGTATTGCTGTATATTCAGGCTGCTTCGGCTTCTTGTCGTCCTATGTTGGATTTGTTGGTTCTCCGGGAGTCATGTGGTGGCACATGACTCCTGGAGAAGTCATTGGCCTCCCAATGCCTCCGGCGGCATTGGGAGGCCTCCCCCCCCCCTTCAGGGGGTTTGGGGCTGGCTGGGTAGACCTCTTTCCCTGTGTTCTGTCAGGTCATCTTGGAGTGGGTTCGCTTGGGCGTAGTCGAAACGATGAAGTCCCTCAGATGTGTTTCCCGTCTCTTTTCCGGTCCCGAAACGGGACTGCGTAGACCTGCGGTTCATTCTGGACTTGACCCATCTGAACCCCTGGGTTTAATGCCCCCTCTTTTGGATGACTACGCTGTCCCAGGTTCGGTTCCTGTTGGACCCGGATACTTGGATTGTGTTCCTGGACATGGGGGGTCGAGGTTAACACTTTCGCCCGGGCATGACGCAGCATTGCGTCATCCACTTAAAATAATCGCCAAAAATCAGGTTTTATCCAATTTTTTGGGGACTGGTTTTAAAATGCGCGCCGATGTCTTCCCATTTTCTTTGTTGAGCCTCGTGGCCCTCAGGCGGCTTGACACACGCCGTGGGCCCATTGTTTTCGCTCCACTGTTGTGACCAATGTCGCCTTGCCTCGCATCTCAAACGTGTGAACATTTCGGCTATTTTCCGTGGCTATATTTCTTACTGTGGCTTTAGAAACTATCTATGCTTATTCCACAATGAATAGTGATCATGAACAAGGCCCTTCCAGGAAGAAAATTGCGAAAGAAAGGCTTGAAAAGGGCGGGAATTGGGAGTGTAGCTGGAAGGCGTCTGTGCTCTCACTTGCGGCTAACGCGTGGCCCTCTTCAACTCGTCGGCGGTTGGAGTGTGACCAGGTCTTTTATTTTATATGCTAATGTTCCTCTAGAGAATTCTATTGCGAACCCATTGAGACCAAAATGAAAGACCTAGGACGAAAATTGAGGTGACCAGAGTGAAAATAGTGAAAACATTTTATCGCATTTGGGCGCTCCTGGGTAACTCGTTCGCACTTTCTCTGTTTGCTGCGGGTAATTAGCCGGGCTTTTGGAGTTTATATGCATTTAGTGCTGTAGAGAATTCTATTGCGAACACAATGATACAAAATTTAATCTCGTAGGACGAAAATTAAGGTGACAAAGTTGAAGAGAGTATACACTTTTCAGAATTTACGCGCGCTCCCGTGACACCCTGGGTCCCATATCGCACAGTTGAGGGGTGGCGCGCGGGGTACGCCAAAGTGTTAATGCTTTCATTGTCTCCCGTTCAGGTTGAATCTGGCTCCTCGCGTGTTCACATGCCTTACATGGGTTGTGGTGGCCCATCTGTGTCTGTTAGGTGTTCGGGTGTTGGCCTACCTCGACGACTGGCTGGTTTGGGCTCCCAGCCGGTTCGTTTGTCTGCTGGCCAGGGATTTGGTTCTTTCTCAGCTCGCCGGGTTCGGGCTCCTGGTGAACTGGAGGAAGTCTCATTTGGTTCCCTCCCAGGTTCAGACCTGGCTGGGCCTTGTGTGGGACTCTCAGACCACTTCCATGTCTCTCCCTCTGGAGTCTCTCCTGTGGCTGCGATCCTGCATGCGCATGTTGCTGAGGGGCTCCCGGGTCACCGGCGGTTGCTCGAGGGTCTGTGCGGGAGCCTGAACTGTGCGATGCTGGTTTACCCGCCAGGTCGGGTTTGGCTTCGTCGGATGTTCAGGTTCCTTCAGGGACGTCCCTCTGCCTCTCTCGCTTCTCGCTGTGTTCGGACCTTGGGGGCTTTGTGTCGGTGGGTGCCTGGCCAGCTTCCTCTTCAGGTTTTGATGGTTTCAGTGTCTTGGCACCTACCTAAGCCTTCGCTCGTTGTGTTCATGGACGCGTCTCTCGGCTGGGGTTTTGTGATAAGTGCTCACCAGGCCAGCCAGGGACGGTGGGGTCCATCCTTCCGTCGAGCCCACAGCACAGTGCGGGAGTTCGCGGCTGTGTGGTTTCCTCTTTGGAGGATTCGGGTCGCCCGCGGGTCAACGATCCGGCTTCATTTGGACTGCTCCCCGGTGGACATCTTCAAGAGAAAACTAGACTGTTTACTAAAAAACGTGCCAGACTAACCGGGCTGTGGGGGGTATGTGGCCATGCTGGCTTCTCCAAGCAGCA